CTGTTCACTGTCCTCTGTGCTGTCAGCAGGGCTAGGGGACACTGTATTTAGGAGGTGGCTCTCTGGACTGTCAGCCGCAGGCCTGGAAGAATCCGCTCTTTTTGGAGCCCAGACCTGCGGCCCCCTCGGAGGCTGGAGAAAAACGCAGAAGCAGCTTCCCACCTAGCCGGCCATTCAAATGAATTTTGCTTGTGAGAGGCCACAGAGGTGGGTGGGGAGGTGTTGGGAAGGGCAGGGGGGAGACCGCCTCCTCCGTCACAGTCTCAGTGCGTGCAGCGAGGGTGTGGCACATTCCAGAGGAGACTGGGTGGAGTTTGTGCAGCTGGACAGGCCTCAGGTTTCAGGCACAGGGGCCCATTCTGAGAGAGACCACAGGGGAGTGGCCTCAGGCGCCTGTGGTGTTGGTCATCAAAACTGTGTGTGTCACAGCTAATCTGTCTTCTTTGATTTCTTCTTTAAAATGACCCTCAAATCACATGCTTTTACACATACAGCACACAGAAAGAATACGATCAATATGTATACTTTAAGGGTCTGTTCCCCAGCGATGATATGTACCCAGCTCCATGTGAGCCATTAATAATAGGGAAGATAACTGCTTTATAATTGAATGGGGAGTTTCAGATGGCTTGAGCCATGACTACCGTTGATTAACCTGAAGGATGTAATACTCTGGGAGCTGGCCTCGTTAGTAAGCTGAAGAGCTATATAATTATCTCTTATCTGCTGATTTCCGCCTTGACCGTGGACTACAGGAGAGGGACCAAGGGGCTGTGTGTGTGTGTGTGTGTGTGTGTGTGTGTGTGTGTGTAAATGTGCTAAGAAACTTCTCCAGATGAGCCCCCTACCCCCCACCCCCAGCATTAGATGAAGACAGTGTCAGGTTGAGCCTGTGTGTGTGTCTTTAAATATCTTGAGTAATGACAACAGTGGGCAGCTCCCGGGGTCTTGAGGGGGAAAAGATGGCTGAATTCTTTTTTTTCTTTTGTTTATTGGGGAACAGTGTGTTTTCCAGGACCCATCAGCTCCAAGTTAAGCAGTTGTTTCAATCTAGTTGTGGAGGGCGCAGCTCAGTGGCCCATGTGGGATCGAACCGGCAAGCTTGGTGTTATGAGCACTGTACTCGAACCACCTGAGCTAACCAGCCGACCCTTGAATATATTATTGTTAAAGCAAGTTCCCATCCTGTTACCCAACTCCAAGAGGCAACAAGAGGGGTGCTTCTTTTCGGAAACCATCACTGGCCTCTTGTGGTATCCTTGGTGATTTGTGACTTGCTGAACCCTCCATAACTTTTTCAAGTATGGGCCTCCAAGGACCACTGGATTAGGGAGCACTGGTTGCAGCACAGCCTCTGTCCCTTGGCCTGTGATCAGTTGGGTGTGGCCATGGGTCCCACAGATCCATTCTAGCAGCAGGGGAGGAAGGCGTCTTCGTGTCTTGACCCAATTGCCACACCGTCCAGCTCTGTTTACACACTTGTCTGTGGAAATAAAGCCAGTCAGTTGTAGTGATCAATCTGAAGGGTGAGAGGAGGCCTGCTCTTATCTGTAGGTCTGTCGGAAGGATTTTCTTACCCGGCAGTTTCTCAGTTGAGTCTTCTGGCCCCGAGGCAGCCAGATCTCTCTGCTTCCAATAGAAAAGGAGAAGAATGGAAGAAGAGGTGGCCCATCTGTTCACGGGTAAATAAATGTTGGTTGGATTAATAGTTATTGTCTGAATATGTGTTGAGCAAAATACTTGGCCTTTCCCCTCGATCCCAATCTGGATGAAGGGGAGAAGGCCACTGGGACAGAACTTACTGGGACAACTGGCATTTTCATAATCCCATGTTAGAGATAGTTAGCAAAGCAGGGATGGAAAGGGGAGAGAAGCCCAGAAATAATCTAGTTTGGGAAACCCGTGAAAGGGGGGGATTTCAAGTATGTGCTAATTTTGGAGTTACTTGTGTATATATTTGTAACTAGTTGGGTTATTTTCTGGCGGGTTAGTCTGGAAATGCAGTTTGCCTCTGTTTTTATGCATCTTTAAAATGGCAAATCAGTCTTCATCTCCCGGCCCTAACCTTCCAGTGAGAAGGCCAGGTAGGAGTAAAAAACACACAGCATTGCTTTGTCTCTCTTATCATTTGGCATTTGAGTCTTAAGTGAGGGAAACTTCTAGGGAACTTCCTATACTAATAACAAACGGTGAGTCAAATGTTTTGAAAAAGATGCAGAATCATCATATATGTCAGAGTTACTGACTCTCTTAAATCGCAGGGTTGGCACTGAAAAAAAGGAATGGGTAAGGGTGTGAATGTAGATTGCAGGACAATGAGGGGCCCGTCTTATAAAGTTAGAATTAAAAAATAGCTGCTGTTCCCTTATATCTTTGAGGTTTAGGGGAGCTTTATTCAGTGTTGGATAACTAGCCCTTCCCCCTTACCAGTTTTAATTGCGGAATCTTACACTCCATCGCCCCCACCCCACCTGCCCAACACTCAGGAAGACCCCAGAGGGTATAGCAAGGGGTATGAAGGGTGAGGGGGCTTAGATTAATAAAAAATTGGCAGACTTGACCGCCCAGTACCTTAAAGTAATTTTTAGAGATTCAAAGTAGCCAGCAATCAAACAGTGTGACAAAGGCCTTTGCAGAATTTGCAATTTAAGGTTTAAACTCTGGTGTCAAACAGGCTCATGGTTACCTGCGTTGCATGTGTCCCATCTCTAACTGTAGAACCTCTGAAACCTGGCAGATCAGGAAAACTTCTGGCTTAGTAGCAAAGCAGGCTCTCAGACCCACTCCGGACCAGGAGAGGCTCTGAACATCTGAATTTTTAGCATATGCTTTTGTTGAGGTTTTATAACAGGTGTGTTTGGGAAACTCTGGGCCAGTGTCAGTGGAGACCAGCCCTAAACACAAGGGGCTGGAAAGTCCTTTCTTTAGGTCTGTTGCAGAATCTTACGTTGTTTCTTAGTTACACTGGGCACTTAAACAAAACAAAACAAAACACAAAACCTGTGCTTTAAGAGTGTGAGGCCTTTATAATGTTCAGAAAGGCTTGGGTTCAATTGTATGTCCATAAATGAAAGAAACAGAGCACGCTCTTGGGGTTACTCTAGGAGGTAGGATAGCAGCACACTGGCCTATGACCTAAGTTTGCGTTTGAGGTCTGTTTTGCATGCTGTGTGGTGTGGGCCTCTCCTGGGACCTCTGTGAGCCTCTGTCAACCTAGATTCCCCATCTGGAAAATGGAGATAATAAGCACACTGAGCAGAGCCCTTGTGAAGAGGGTAGAGAGTGTCAAAGTAAGGTCTCCCTGTACACAGTGAAGGCCTGGGCCAGTGCTTCGTTTTATTTTCTCAGAAATAGTGCTAGCTATTAAGTTCTTTTTAAAAATCACTTTGAAAAGGTACATGGCAGAGTGAACCAAGGCCTAGTATTGTGACCACCTGTTTCTTGCCGCAGTTTCTTTCGTAATCGTCCACCCGCGTTTCTGCCCTTATACAGTATTACAGATTCAAACGTCGGGGCAGGGAGTGGTCTACCCGTTTGTAGGGATTTTATAAATGAGGAGACTCGGGTTAGATTGTCGAAGTTGTTCCTATGACTTCTTCCTCCCTGGTGAAAATCCGTGACCATACACAAGGGCAGTCACGCGTGCTGTGACTCCCCTGATATCAGTGACCTCTAAAATGCCACCCAAGGTGGGGCTGGCTGGCGTGTGAGGGAAGTTCTGTCAGAGGTGTCAAACCTTGTAAACAGGCCTCCCTTTTTTCACCTTGTGTGTATTGTGGGATATACCACTGGCGGGAGGGGTTAACTTTTCCCTTTCCAGACAGCAGTCTTCTGGTGGCTGTTAAGGTGTTTTTTTGTTTGTTTGTTTGTTTAAAGGGAATTACATGTAAATATATAATGTAACTGTACGTTTTTATCACTAGCTTTGTTTGGTAAAGCAGAGAGAATGTTTTCCCTCAGATGTCGAAGTGGCTGTCTAGAAAGCTGGTAGGAAGGGTAAAGTAGAGCCTGAGTTTTTAAAACTTCATGTTTCTCTTATGTATTTATTTTCAAAAATAGCATAAGCGAGGTCCTTGGAGGAAATGACCCTCAATAGCCAGCCGCTCCGCTCTGTATGAGCAGAGACGTGACGTGTGTATGTGTGTGTGTGGGGGGGCGGGCAGCGCGTAGCGTGTTGACAGAGGAGCGCCTGCAGATGGCACCGGGTAGAGAGGATGGGGAGACTCGAGGCAGAGGGCGTGGTGGGGTCGGGTGGGTCCAGAGGCCGCAGGAGAGACACAGGCCCAGGAGGCCAAGGTGTACAGAGCTCACACCTGGAAAAGAAGGCCGTCCTTTAGAGCGCTCCTGTCCAGCGGACCTTTTTGTGTTGATGGAAATGTTTGGTTCTGTGCTGTCCAGCGTGGCAGCCACTAGCCACATGTGGCTATGCAGCGCTTGCAATGTGGCTGGTGTGGCTGAACTTTGGATTTTATTTCAATTTAAATTCTTTGGACAGGGCAAGGTAAAACTTTGGGAAGATGACTTCAGGGTGGTAT